GGAGATGTTGGCGGCCGATGCGAGTTTCATTTTGGGCGCACAGCTGCTAAAGAAGGGCGAGGAGGTGACGGACGTAACGCAGCCGACAACAGTTGTGCACGGCAGAGATGTCTACATGCTGCTGGGAAACTACAGCCGTGCAGAGCCTGCAAATCAAGTAGCCGGAAAAGCCGGCTGGAATCTTTTGCTGGTGAAGGGAAGTGTCAGTGGAAACGGCGACGATAAGAAAATCCAGTGGAGTGAGACCCGTGCGGTGGGTGCCGCATCTATAGGGTTTCATGCCTCCTTGACTGCGTTGTCTGGCGGCGGAGGCTCGGGCCTTGTGCTGAGTGACGGCACGCTTGTGTTCCCCATGCAGGCAATCAAGGATGGAGAGAGCGTTCTGCTTGCCATGCGCTTCACGCCATCGGGGGATAAATGGACGCTTTCGTCCGATGTGTTCGGTGCGGGCTGCAGGGGCCCGTCCATCGTGGAGTGGGGGGAAGACGGAAGCCTCCTCGCGATGGCTCCCTGTGAGAGGGGCTCCTACGGCGTCTATCCGTCAACTCCCCGTGGTGTAGCTTGGTACGATGCGGGTGAGCCAATTTCGCGCGTGTGGGGCACCTCGCTGAACCGTCAAGGAGGGGATGGCGTGCAGAGCGGCTTCATCACGGCAACCATCGAGAATAAAAAGGTGCTGCTCCTCACCACGCCGGTGTACTCGGGCGAGAAGAAAGGCGCCGCAAAGGGAGCGCTGCATCTTTGGCTGACAGACAATTCCCGCGTGCACGATGTCGGAGCGGTGTCACGTGAAGCGGATGACGCCGCTGCCAGTTCCCTGCTGTACAAAGGCGGTGCGCCGGAGGAGTTGATTCTACTGTACGAGAAGAAGAATGGGGACTCTTACGGCCTCGTATCTCTGAGCCTGGCAAAGCAGCTGGAGCAAATCAAGTCGGTGGTGCAGACCTGGAAGGAAATGGACGCCGCCTTGCAAAGCTGTACTTCCTCTGCCGCTGTTGACACGCGGATAAATGGCGTGTGCAACGGCCCTGTCCCCACGGAAGGGCTGGTGGGCCTTTTGTCCAGCACGCTGGCCGGGACTGCGTGGGTGGACGAGTACCGCGGCGTGAACGCGACTGTGAAAGGTGGTGCTGGGGCGGCGACAAGCGAGGAGTGGGGCGTGACTTTCAGCGGCGCCGGAGCGGGGGCGGAGTGGCCCGTGGGAAGCAGGGGGCAGAACCAGCCGTACTACTTTGCGAACAACGGGTTCACGCTTGCGGCGACGGTGATGATCCACACGGTGCCGGAGGCGGAGGAGGACACGCCTTTGCTGGGCGTGAGGATGAATGACGCAGCGAGCACCGTTCTCCTGGGCGTGTCGTGCACGCAGGACAAGAAGTGGAAAGTGACGGTCGGCGGTGAGAGCCGGGAGTTGTCGGAAGAAGATGCAACGTGGGAGGCAGAGAAAACGTATCAGGTGGCACTGCAGATGAATACTGACGATGAGTTGTCTGTGTACGTTGACGGGGCTGCGATATACGACGGCGAAGACGATGATGAAGAGGAAGATGGCGATGGTGGCATCGCCTCTGAGGTGGCCGAACTCTTCACGCCGCACAGGATCTCGCACATTTACGTTGGCGGGGACGGGGCGGAGGGCACGAAGACCAGCCACCACGTGACGGTCTCCAGCGTCCTGCTGTACAACCGCGCACTGGGCGAAAATGAGATCACGCAGCTCGCAGGGAGCAAAGTGACTCTTGGAGGACCATCTGCCGGGAACGCAGGCGGCGAGCTGCAGGCGGCCCCTTCAGTGTCCACCTCTGGGGGTGTTGAGACTGTACCCGAAGTGAAGCTTGAAGGCGGCGGCGGTGAGCAGCAGACGGAGGACGGCAAGCGCACGGAGAGTCTGCAGGAAAAAAGCGACGGTGCTGCTGATGGGGCGCCGGTGCGTGAGGAACGTTCGCCGGCGGAGTTGGGGGGTGGCGGTGCAAATGCCTCTCCTCAGCAGCCGGTAAATGCACCGCCGCATGCCACCAGGACCCCGAAAGTTGAGGGCGAACAGTCGCAAAAAGGGGAAACGGGGCCTGCTGGGGCCCCAGCGCCGCGGGAGGACGTCGTGGAAGCGCCGGGCCTTGGAGTTGCGCCGCCGAGCAGCGACGTGAAGGTCGCTCCTGCGCCACCTGCCGGGGACTCCCCCCTCAGCCCCCCCAGAGAACCAACACCACGAAGAAGAAGAGGAAGAGGAAGAGGAAGAGGAGGTGCCGTCTCAGTTATCGCAGGAGGCGGGCAAAGAGGCAGGCGACGCGTCAACACCTTCTAGCGTCACTCACAACTCCGACGCAGAGGAAGCAGAAGAGGCGGAGGATGAAAAAGAAGAGGAGGGGGAGGAGGAAGCGACAGAAGGCAGTGGCGGTGCATTGGCGTCCCCACCGTTGTCAGCGCCGGCTGCGGCCAGTGCTCCTCGCCCAGGCGCAGCTGAGCAGGCCGTCGGTGCGCAGACTTCCGTGCAGCAACGAGAGCCTTCGGCCCCCGCAGACGGTGCAGCCACGGCGGGCCCGGCGGGTGACGGCCAGGCGCAGCAGAGCCCTCCGTCGCACGCGCCAGAGGCCGTTGGCGGCGTGCCGTCTGCTTCCGCCACGCCCACCAGCGAGACGCCAAACGCTGCCGCCAAGGAAAATGGCGCAGACCCCCAAACTGCGGCGGACGCGGACGGCGGCCACGAGGCACCCAGCAACGCCGCCACGGCCCCCACGGCTCAGGCAGCTGGGCGGCCAGGCACCCCGCCAACACGCGACGCGGCGCCGCACTTAAGCAACAACTCCATCACCTTCCAGAACACCACAGGGCCGTTCCCGATGAACACAGGCAGCGACGGCGCCGTGCGTGGGTGCGTGAATTGGCTAACGCTGCTGACTCTTCTGGCGCTTTGTGGCGTCGCGGCAGGCTTCTGAGCGAAGGAGTGTGGAATTGTGATTCCGCATGGGGAGAGTTGTGCGCTGCGACCCATGCGGGTCTCTTTACTTAAGTGTTCTTTTTTCTTTCCTTCTTTTGCTTGTCCCTGTGGGTCAATCCCTGACTCCCTCCTGTGCTACGAGGAATGTTTACTTTTTCTTTTTTTGCTTCGCCACCCCATGCACGTTCCAGTGGGCGGCGCACCCTTTTCCCCCTCCTGTTTGCTGCCGCCGACCACACACACGCGCTGCCGGCCTCGTTGCTGTGCGCTGCACGGAGTGCCCAAATGAGGCACGAGGCCGCTGCCACCGTGAGGTGAGTGTGCGTGGGGTTGCGTGTGCGACCGGGGCAGTTGTTTCTTTTATTCCTGCAGGTAATAAACTACACACACACTCCCTCACGGTCCTCTTGGGCTGCTGGACACGTGAAAGTGAAGGAACACCACCTGCCGAAGTGATTACTTTTTCTTTTAATTTTACTTTTGGGGTCCTGCGTGGATTATTCATTTCCATTCTTCGTCTTCTTTTCTTCTTTTGCTGCCCGGGCGATGCCCGCCGCTGCCGTGCGGGGCCGCGCTTTTCTGAAATCCCTCCTCTGCCGGTGTGCCGACACGCTTCTGCGTTGCCTTCCTCTCTTTTTTTCCACTTCTCCTCCCGCACACACGCAGAATGGAAAAGAGCCCCAAAACTCTGCCCCGTTGCCACTGTGCGCTTTGA